GCTTGGAGAGCCGCCTGACTTGAAGTCGTGGATGCTGTCGTGTGACGCGCGTTCGGCGTCCACGCGGCAGCCACATCGAACCAGCACCGCCTCGGCGAACCGACTGACTGCGATCTTCGAGCACTGGATCTTGCGAGTATTACATGTCAGAGGTTTGGCGCCCCCCGCGGCAAGAAGCGACGTCGCACTTGAATATGCAATCGACCAATATATCAATATGTAGAGGTCTGGGTCAGCGGCCACGTGGTGCAGGGTGTGGCCGCAATACGGGTTGGGCCATTTTCGATTTCGACCACGACAAGAAGAGATGCCCAGCAAGAAGACTGCCGCCAAGGCCGAGGCCGACCCCGCCAAGACGCTCCTCATCAACGAGAAGGGCGAGCTCACGGGCCCGTTCGCGCATGCGCTCAAGCGCATCTTCCAAAAGTACTCGGAGGGCACGAACGCGCTGACGTCGGAGCAGCTCAACAACTTTAGCAAGGCCTGCAACGACGGCAAGGGCTTCACGGAGCAGGAGCTCAACGAGATCCACATGTACTTTGACTGCGACGAGAACAAGGGCCTGACCCAGGTACGCCCTCGTCGGCGAAGTCTGGCATTTGGCTTATCGACACTTTGTAGCGCGGCTTCTGCGATATGTACCACACACAGACAAGCGCCGAGCCGAGCGAGACGTGGAAGGACTTGCGCAAGCTTGGGTACGCGCCAAGCCATTGCAGGACGGCTCATGGACTCATTTTCATGCTAGCTTTGTCAAGCACATTACGGGCCACGAGTGCTATGCGTGCGGCAAGGACGCGACGACGTCGTGCGCCCGCTGCATCTCGGTGCGCTACTGCTCCAAGGAGTGCCAGACCGAGGACTGGAAGGCTGGCCACAAGCGTGCTTGCAAGCCCAAGAAGTTCCTCGCGGAGAACTAGGCATCATAGTAGAGCGTCGAAGAGGGACCATGTATGTAGAGACTGGAGCCTTGTCGTACGAGTATAATGAATGTACATATGATGATGATGAAGCAGTTCTCTTCCTCATCTTGGTCCTTGCATCCGTCGTCGTCGAGCTGGGTCGTCGTATCGTGACGTGTACTGTCTCGCGCAATCCAGCGGCAATTTGCGGGAAAGTTTCGTCCTTCCCGTATAATTCCGGTAAAACAGCGGACTTTTCGAGTTTGGTGCCAGGACCACGGAAGCAAGGGACGCGGCAGCACCATGGGGAAGAACCAGCACAGCAAGGACCGCATGTTCATCACGGCCTCGGAGCACAAGTACCTCTACGGCGGCAAGAAGGAAGAGGTCCGGCGTGCTTACCGACGTACGTGCCATGGCGGTCACGCGGGCGCTGACCTATGTGCCTAGGCCTGCCGTTTGACTGCTGCTCGATCTCGCTCAAGCCCTTCGAGGTACGCTGCTGCTGCATAGCCCTTCGACGCTAGAGCGCTTGGGACATAGAACCCCGTGTGCACGCGCGAAGGCCACCTCTTTGACATTGAGGCCGTCATCCCCTACGTCAAGGAACACAACATCGTACGCTTCGGCGCAGGCTCTCGGCGCAGCGTGCTCATGCCCACGACGTAGAATCCTGTGACGGGCCAGCCGCTCGCGGTCAAGGACCTCATCAAGGTGCGTCGTCGTCGTTGAGCTGGTGCCCATCGCGTGTACTAGCTGCGCTTCCACAAGAACGCCTCGGGCGAGTACTTTTGCCCCGTGACGTACAAGGTAGCCGCCATTGCATGCAGCGTATCTGACGCCTGCTATAGGTCTTTACCAACAGCACCAAGATCGCCGCTGTCGCCACGTCCGGCAACGTGTACGCCTACGAGGCCATCGACGAGCTCAACATCAAGGCTAAGAACTGGACCGTACGACATGCGTGGGCTCTCTGAGACAAGGTGCAATGCGGTGTTTAGGACTTGGTGTCGGGCGAGGCCTTCAAGCGCAAAGACATTCTGATTCTCCAGGACCCGACCGACTTTAGCGGCCGTGAGATCGAGAACTTTGAGCATTTCCGCAAGGCCAAGGAAGCCGAGACGGTACGACTTCCTTATTACTTCATTATTCCGTGCGCACACGTCGCGCGTAGAAGGCCAACCCGACGCCCGAGATGCTCAACAACATTCGCGTGACGTCGGCGACCAGCCGCATCCTTCAAGAGGTACGTGGCAGGACAGCCCTGCGCCCCTAAGCCAATGTTATAGATGGAAGCGTCCAAGCAAAAGAAGCGCCAGCGTGAGGACGAGCTTCGGCGGGGTGAAGCCGAGCGCACGGCGGAAGAGAAGATCATTGCCGACGTGTCGCACTCGACCAAGCCGGTGCCGGTTGTCGATGGCGACGGCGGCAAGCTACAGGTACACTCATGGGCGAGCGGCAGGAGGTTTATCCTGCCCTCTTTCCTAGTACTCGCGCTTTACTGCGGGCGAGTGCTCGCGGTCCTTCACGTCGACCGAGCTGGGCCCGGTACTACTTGGCGGTAGTTGGTATCGGTGTCTTATGGCTCGCAGACGACCCGCAACGCGCAAGCCGTCGCGTCCGAGATGGAAGTCCTCGAGGCGCGCTGGGCTGAGGTCCGCCAGCTCAAGAAGAAGGGCTACGTCCGGCTCACGACGACGCTGGGCGTCCTCAACCTCGAGATCGACGTCGACATGGTGCCCCGCACGAGCGACAACTTTTTGAGTCTCTGCGAGAAGGGCTACTACGACAACACGGAATTTCACCGCATCATTCCTGGTTTTATGGTATATCTTTTTCTGAATCTGCGATTTTGCGCGTTTTGACTTTTGTTGTTAGATGCAAGGTGGCGATCCCACGGGCACTGGTCGGGGCGGTGAGTCCATTTGGGGCAAACCGTTCCGCGACGAGTACGACAGCCGCCTCGTACGTCTTCGTAGGCTGCCGACAGGATCAAGTTGGCGTATTTGTAGCGGCATACGGAGCGCGGCCTCCTGAGCATGGCCAACTCGGGCGTCAACACGAACGGGTCGCAGTTCTTTATCACGTTCAAAGACTGCACGTACCTCGACAACAAGCACAGCATCTTTGGCCGGTAGCCAGCTATCAATGTATCGAGTGGATGTAACAATGCACATTAGGGTTGTGGGCGGTATCGAGGTGCTGGACGCGATCGAAGCCGTCGCCACCGACAAGTCGGACCGGCCGTACGACCGCATCCTCGTCACGTCTGTGCACGTGTTTGAGAACCCGTTCAAGATGTACGATACGGCGGCAGCGCTGGGCACGACGGTGCGTCGACGTTGCCGTAGCGCCTGACAATAAGTTTGTGACAACACAGGTGCTCGAGCTCAAGCGCAAGGAAGAGGCGCCTGTCGTGAAAGGCACGGTTGTCAAGGTCGGCGACGAGTGGGTATGTGGCATCTCAAGTTGCAAGTAAGGTCGAAGGGCGCTGACGGTAGCCTGCTCTAGGTGGCCTACGACGGCGTCGTGGACGTTGTCGCGCTACCCAAGATTGACCCGTCGGCCGCGCCAGGTAGACTGCATGGTCGAGATTCCCAGAACTTAGTCTCGATGCTCCGTAGGCGGCGTCGGCAAGTACCTTCCAAAAGCCCCGGTGGCGGCCCGAAAGAAGCCCGACACGGAGCCGCCCGTGGCCAAAAAGGCCAAGCGCCCCGCGACAACAACGTTTTCCAACTTTGACGGGTGGTAATTCGCATGCAGCGTCCTGGGTGCAACGATTGTTTAACAAAATACAAGCAAATCTCTCAACGAATCGCAACTCCTCTACGGCCACCGCCCACGGCTGGTTGCGCGTCAGGGGCTCCAAGTTGGTCGTGAGCCGCAGCTGGCCATTGTATGCGGAGCCGGTGTCAAAGGCAAAGACACGTCGACGCTCGTGAGCTTTGGCGGGAGTGAGGGGCTCGAAGCACTTGATATTAACTGAGATTAACTGAGAAAACGCAGACTATGTATCCTTTTACTTTGTCATGTGAAAATTATTCGTCGTCAAAATCATAGATGCCGCGGTGCGTCGCGTAGAGGTGCTCGTAGACGTCGTCGGCCGAGTCAAAGCCGGCGGCACACACGTAGCACCAGTGCTGGCCGCAGTTGCACGTGATGTGGTTGCAGCCGCCTGTCTTCTCCGTCTCGACAGAGCAGCCAGGGCACGCCACCGTCACGGGCGTCACCGTACCAGTGGTAGCAGCCCGGGCGGTGGCCGCGGCGACGCACTCGGTGCAGCGGAACGTCGCGACGTCGTACGGCGGCTCGACCGCGCACGTGCGCTCGATGAGCTCCTTGACCTTGTAGCAGCCGAGGCACCAGCCATAGTACATATCTGCGCGCCACGTCATTTTGGACGCGACGAGCGCACAGGCCTGCCGGTTGTGCTTGCGGAGCACACCGAGCGTCGGCTGGCGACGGCAGAACGGACACCCGAGGGTGGACGCGAGCACCATTTTGCCCGGCTGCACGGCGCCGTACCACCGCGACAGGCACGGCTCGCAGCACTTGGTGTTGCAGCGTCCGCATGCCGACGTCAGCGCTGGCAGCGTCAGCTCGTCAAAGCAGAGGTTGCAAACGTCCTTGAGCGTCCCGGACACGACCGTGTCGCGGATCGACGCCACGAGCGCGTCGGCGTTGTGCACTCGCTTGCCGTCGACGATCACCTGCGTTGTTAGCGCTTGGTTCGTCGCCTCTTTGGCGCTGAAGAGCAGATCGTGTTTGAGCGTAAACATCTTGAAGTAGTTGATGGTTCGGTCGAAGGCCATGGCTGCAAACGACGCAGCGGTCGTCGGGCGTGTCCACTGCAAGTCGGCGAGGATACCCGGGTTGGCCGTCAATAGCGCCTGCAGCGTGAGCGTCGTCGGCGCGGTGGCTTTCGCTGGCGTCGCCGTGCACACGGCGCAGGCGTTGGGGTGCACGGCCGCGTAGAGCCCGGCGGGGTCGACAAAGTCGTTCCAGCACCCGTTGCAGTGGTACATCGCCGGCTTGTGCTTGGCGCCGGTGCGGCAGTAGAAGCACTTGGGCGTAATGTTGAGAAGGTCGGTTTGAACGACAGCGTACAGACCGTGGCAGCCCCGGCACTCGACGAGGTGCGAGTTGGCGCCGGGCACGGCGGCCTTGGCCTGGATGGCCTTGGCTTCCTCGACGCCCGATGTAAAGCAGAGCGCGCACATGTCGGGTGTCACCATGAGCGAGCAGCTCGTGTCGACGCCGCACGAAGCACAGCGCACCTTGGTATCAGGCCACAGCTGCGTCTTGGTCGGCGAAAACCCGAGCGTGACATCGACGTCCTTGGTGGCTGCGAGCCGGAGCCGGTGCACGTGGTAGAGCTGCGTGTAGATTCGCGCTTCCTTCTCGGTCAAGTAGGCGCGGCCGCGGTAAAGCAGCTTGATAAACTCGAGCGAGAGAACCTCGGGAAAGTCCACGACGTTGTCCAGCGGAATCCAGCGCCCGCGGATCGACGTCAGATACGCCTCGGCGCGCTGCGCAAGAAGCGCGTTCTCCGAGAGGCAGCAGAGGAGCGCCATGACCGCTGCACCCTTGGTCGAAAAGGTCGTGCCGGGCAAAATCAAGTGCGGCAGAAACGAAAAGAGGTGCTCGTTCGAGATGGTCTCTGGGAGATGCATGATGGACGCCTCGTCCATCGCTGTCTCGACCGACGGGTATATGCGCAAGTGCGTGAGAAGCGACTGCACGGCGGCAAGGACGCCGGGGTTGGGCGCCCGAGCGAGTGACCGGACGTCGTCCTTGTCGATCGAGAACGCCGCTGCCTCGAGCACGTAGCTAGCGCCACTCGGGAGCGCCCGAAGCGTGTCGTGGATGAAGTCACTGTTGTCGTGAGACGCGTCGAGCCACTCCTGCACCTGGCGCTTATCAGTCTCGCTGAGCGCCGGGATGCACGTCGAGAGCTGCGTCGAGAGAGTCTGAAGGCGCTCGTCGAGGCGACGACCACACACGAGGCGCCAGAGCTTCCCGAGTACCGGGTTGTACGTCAGCGACAGGACGTTCTCGGGCGTAAACACCTCTGTAAACGTTGCGTAGACCAAGTTGCGGAAAGCCTCGTTGGACTTGAAGAGCACGGGGAGCTGACCGAGGTCTTCGACCATGCTAGCATGCGACTCGAACGAAAACGGCTGGGTGGACGAAGTCAGACCGTGAATGCTGCCAAGCTGCGTTTCCTTCTCGGCCGTGAACGTCGGGTCCAAGTGCACGCCGGTGCGCGAGATGTTGGTGACGCGCAACTCGTCCGCGCACGCAAAGTCCTGGCCCATGAGCTGGAGGAGGAGACCAATCGTCGACTTTGTGATCATCGTCGGCGTCCGTGACGTCAGGACGGTCACGGGACCCAAGAGGGCGTAGAAGACGGCAGACGACATCGTCGCCTCCGGCGTGTAGTGGTTCGAATGAAACGTGTACACCGGGACACGCTTGGACTGCAGCGTCTTTTGAATCCCAAACCAGTCGCTTCCGGCGGTGTACGCCGGGTTACCGGCAATCGCTGCGACTTCTTGCTTCAAGTACGCGGACGTCGTGGCCGGGTGGTGCGGCGGCGCATCCGTGTACAAGAAGACGACCGCATCGGTGGCCTGGACCGCGTTGATGGTGGCAACGACGGCGTTGAGAGCGGTCTTGACGGCCTCCGGGTAGTCCCCGCCACCGCTCGGGCGGAGCTTGGCGACGAACGTCTTGATCTCGTCGTTCGAGTGCGTGCGCTGCCCGACGCTCGTCAAGACGGCGGCGTCGTCGCAGTAGTCCTTGTACGACACGACATGAAGCTTGAGGCGGCCGTTGAAGAGGAGCTCCGTGAGTGCAAACACTTGGTTGATCGTGCTGCTGAGCGACGCCACGTACGAACCCATGGATCCGGTGGTGTCGCAGACGAGGAAGAGGTCGACGACCGGGCGCTTCTCGAATGTCGACGGCTCGGCTTCGGCGTGCGGCTCCATGGTTGGCTGCTGCTGCTTGAAGGAAAGGCAAATGGTAAATGAACTCGAGTGTCAGCGAGGCTCGGGCACCGTTCATTGTGCGCAGATCGATGGTGCGGGAAGCAACCTTCACTCGCGCCGTGACTACCTTCACTCAACTTGACCATTTGGTGAACGGAGGTGCTGCCACGTCATGGCGTTGAAGATGGACTGCCGTGCGGACGCACTTCGTTCGACGAACAGAACGTGCGCGGCATTGACTCGCAGGAACAAACCACAAGAAAATGACGCAGAATATCGTGTCGAAGTGTGCACTTGTAGTGATGGTGCTCCATGGGCCAACACCGAAAAAACTCCGGACGACAGGCGCCAGGCTCCCGAACCAGGTTGGTTGAGAGGGGGCTCGTCAGGATGGTGTCAGAAGGGAAGTTTATTGCGGTTCGAGGACATCTCGGGCCAGATCCTGGGCGTCCTTTGGCATCGGCCATGGCGCACTGCATATTTTCTTCGCTTGACCAATAAGAATGCTGAAATCTAATTCATTTTGTCCAATCACACATCATACACTGTACATGGCGCGGCCAGGCACAGCTTGTCTGCGGGCCATTGTCACCAGGATGCTTCAACCGGGTATTTGTACAATCTGCCAGCACGTCGTCACTTGTGCAAAAAGCTCAGAGAAACATAATTTGAAGTGCTCTCCTGCCTATTGCCGGCCTACTAATACCGAGCTAATACCGAGCTTCTTGGGACGGCCGAGCCCGTAGCATGTCATCGTACTCGGTTCGAGTCGTGCAAGCTTGGGAAGCTGCGCGAGAAAATGTCACAAAAGACTGCAGAACATGTAAAATATTCGTTGCTAAACCACCTTCACTCAGCGCAGCGACGCCTTCTGCCGGCCAATAGGCTGAGGTACGCGCCATGGGTACGCGCCGTCTTTGTATCGTGCAAGTGTTGGCCAAACGGTTGTCAACGATGCTATTTCCCACTTTCAATTCGACGTCCACGGCGCACAGTTGCAGGCTTACATCGATGGCGGTGGCGATAGACAATACCATCGACCTCTTCCTCGTCTGCGACACAACGGCCTCCATGGGGACCTACGTCGCGTCCCTCAACAGCACACTGCGCCAGATCTTTGCGCTGACCAAAGTGCTCTTCCATGGCCGCCTCACATTGCACATTGTGTCGTACAAGGACTATTGCGATGGCAACGACGTCGTCACCTACTGCAGCCAGCGCACGCACACCAACCACGACATGATCACGTTTGTCTCCAAGCTGCAGGCGTCGGGCGGCGGCGACCACCCCGAGGCTGTCAAAACAGCACTCAATCAAGTGTGTGCGATGCGCACGGCGGGAACCGCCGTCGTTTTGCTCTACACGGATGCGCCGCCGCACCACCGCGCGACAGCGTCTCGCTTCCAGGCCCGCGAAGCCGCCGCGATTGCTGCCAACCGGCTCTATCATGGAGGCGCCGACTGGTTCGAGCTGCGAGACGCCCTTGGGGACGCGCACATTTTTACGTTTCACAAAAAGATCACGAGCACGGCAACGTCAGGCGTCTTTTACGCGCTCTTGGGGCCGCTCATCGTACTGGACGATGTGAGCACCAACATGATCACAGAGGCGTCGATGGGTCTCCTATTGCAGCTCATGGACCAACCGTTTGCACTTAGCGCCAAGTTTGCCATCACAGACGTCTACCACAAGCAGACGACGCACTACGGCCGTACGTTGTCGCTGCCGTCCGAGAACGACTTGCCCGACCTCTTCTCGCTCACGACGTCGACGCGGCCGTTTGCGTTTGCTTCGCTGCAGGCGCTCCAACAAGACCTCGACGCGCTGCCCGACCGCTTCCGGTGCGACGAGACGTACCAAGTCATGGTCTACAACGTACTCAAGGTGCTCTTCACGCCGTCTCTTGTGCTCGCCGTGACGTACAACCCGATTGTTGGCAAGCTCTGGTCGCTCGTGTGCAGTCGGCGCCTCGACCCGCGCCTCAAAGCCTTGACGACGCGGCTCTCGCAGTGCGTGCCAGGTCTTGACGGTGACGGCCGGCGTCAACTCCAGGCGTGGATCGCTGATGCCAGAGACGCCACCGAGCGCATTCGAGGCGTGGTCGCGTCGGCGTCGACCGCCGGTGGCTACTACGTTTTGGACGCCGGTGTCGATTTGAACACGATTGACACGGAGGCGCTGCGGTCGCTTGCGCGGGCGCCGCGTCGGGGAGCGCTCCAGCAAGTCCAGACGCTGCTCACGCAGCTGCAGTGGGTTGCAATGGTCCCGATAGACGCCATGGTGCTAGACGACGGTGCGCCCCTGTACCTCCCCGTCGACGTCTCGGACGCCGACCTCTTTGGGTGCCTCCCGCACCTGCTCAGTCCAGGCATGGCCTTCTCGAGTACCGGTGCCATGGTGCTCGCGCTTCTTTGCGCGCTCTCGGACCACCGTCTTCTCGCGCACCGGGCACGCGCGCACCTCGACGCCAAGCGCGGCCACTGGTTGCACTTGGATCGGTTGGACATGCACCCGGAAATCGTCTCGCTCGACTTTATCAAGCTCTTGCACCGTGGCCGCGCCTTCTTGACCAGCGACGAAGCGCACGTTTACGACGTCTTGCACACCATGTACCGACTGCGGCTCGCAGCGACCAAGGCGGTCGACGTCGCCGTTGGGTTCATTCCCGACAAGATGACGTGGCGCCCGGACGACATGGCCCAGTGCCATTCGTGTGGCGTCTTTGTGAGTTTTTCGCTCATGGTGTCGCGAACCAAGTGCGCGCTGTGCGTCACGGACGGCGTCGCCGGTGCGATGGCGCGGCACCGGGCGGCCGCGGCACCCGTTGGTCAGTCGCGCCGCGTCCAGTGCTCACGATGCCTCGCCTTGTACGCCGTGGTGTGTGTCGACGATCTATCGATCGCGCCCAAGTGCCACTACTGCCGACAGCACACCAAACACGACAAGATTCCGGTCACCGAGTGCACATCCTGCCACAACCAGCTGCTCGATCCGGCGGGTCTCTACGCCGCCAAGCAAAAGAGCAACGCGGCATGGCACTGCGCCGTGTGTACAACGACACCGACGGCGACAACGTCGGTGGTGCCGGCGACCATCGAGTCGCTCTTCAAAGCGAACCCGAGCCTCGCGCGCCTCGTGCAATGGTCCAAGCCAAAGAAAGCGTCGGCGTTCGTGGACCTCGTGTTCGACCGCACGCGCAACTACTTCGCCCTCGCCACACAGTACACCAAACTCCTCTTTGGTCCGCGTCGGCAATCGATCGACAGTGACGACGATGCGACGACATCGACGCTGTGGTGCAACGGCAAAGTCATTTTGCAGGCGTCGGCGCTGTGCACCGATCTCGCCGCCTATCTCGACCACGGCGATCTCACCGAGGCGTGCCACCTCTGCTACAACGACGTACCGTTGCCCGGTCTCCAGAGCGCCTGCGGTCGGTGTCCGACGCGCGTCTGCACGCCGTGTCTCCAGACCTGGTACGGAGCGACGCAACCGGGTCACCTGCTGTCGCCGTCGCACCTCACGTGTCCGTTTTGCCGCCAAGACCCGACGCTCGACGTTCTGTTGCGCTTCAATCGGCAAGCGTGCGCAGTGACGACAGGCCACCGACGTCCGCAGTGGCGTCCGGATGTTTACTACGGCTGGTGCCTCGCGTGCTATGGCGTCAAATTCATGGCCGACCGCGCGTGCGTCGAGGCGCCGCCGACCGAGATTTTTGACTTTTCATGCGCAGATTGTGTCGCGGCCCACCGTGCGATCGAGGTGTCGTTGGCACCGACACCAGTGGTGGAAGCGACTGCAGAGGACATGAAGCAATTCAAGCGATGTCCGCGCTGCACCGTGCGCATCGAGAAGGACGGCGGCTGCAATCACATGACGTGCAATTGCGGTCAGCACTTTTGCTGGATCTGCCTCGAAGCGTGCGAGTCGGGCACCGCCACGTACGCCCACCTGTATGCTGCGCACCGCGGCGCCGACTGGTAGATTTTTGTATAGATGAACGAGTTGCGTGTTTTCTGATTCAAGATTTTGCCTGCGTGCAGACGAGCACTGGCGCGAAGGCGCAGTTTGATGTTCTTGATTCTGGACGGTGGGCACTGAGCACACTAGACGGGCAGAATCTGGCGCGACTTTTGATGCTATGCGGGTGGTGAGTCAGTGAGCACCAAGAGAGCTACCAAGAGTGCATAGCCTCAACTGGGTTCATGTGCTAGTACTCTTGGTGACCAGTTTCGTGTATGCGTCATTTTTGCATTATTCCATTTGCTAGCAACACATGCAGTGGGCTATGCTTTCTCGGCGAGCGCTTCTCGGCAGCTTCCTCGCTGCCGTCGCCATCGGCACCGACCAGCCTCAGACCTGACAACCCAAACAATCACACCGCCGCCTGCGTCAGCGCCTGTTGGGTGTGCGTTGATCGAGGTCAAGTTGCACGGGGCGTTCTTCACCTGGACCGCAGCGGACAACTCTGGCATGTGGGGCGTGGACGCCAAACCGACGCCCACGCAAGTCAGCTTGGCCAGCTTCAACATATTTAACGACCAGCGTGGTCGGAATTACTCAAACAGCGTACATGTGAGGTCGGCATCAAGTGCTATCAGCGGAAGCACGACGCTGCGTGCGTCGACGTCGCCGGTGCCAACGCATTTCGGCACCGCGTAGGTGACGCAGTCGAACGGCCAGCTGCTGCTCGTGACCAATACGGGCCACCGACCAGCAGTGGTTGGATGAGTCACGATTCGTTAACAATTATTCGAACAAGGTGTCGTGCCTCTTGGGTGTTTCCAAACGCAGCCGTTCGTATTGCGAGGTAACCCGAAACAAATGGCGTTGCCCTCGAGTTGACATATCAAGACATTGAAACACACAACAGCACAACAGAAGAAAAATACATACAACGGTCGCATTTATCATAGCTTCTTAGGCTCCGTAGATGCGCTCCAGCAGCGCGAGCGTGTGGTCCTTCAAGAAGGACTTGGCCGCCGGCGTGTGCGCGTTCGTCACCTTCCCAGCATCTCCGTACTGGTCGAGGACGTGGAAGCCGGTCGTCGGCGCTTGGTCCGCGATCAAAAAGTCGGCCATGTACTCGCCGCAGTCGGCCGACGATTTCGCAAACGTTTTGAGCGGCTTGAGCAGCATGCGGATGGCCCACGGCATCTCGGTGCCCCAATTGGTCGCGACAAAGCCCGGCGCTGCGTGGCCAAACGCAATGTTGTTGTTGGTGGCGTCGTCCGCAAATGCGTCGAGCATAAGGTCGTTGTAATACCCGGCGGCGTCGGCGGCGTTCTGGAGCGAGTAGTTCTCCTTGAGCTCGACGTCGTCCAGTAGCTTGGCGTACGGCTTGTGCACGCCGCCGCTGAGCACTGAGAGGACGCGTGGCGTATGGCCCGAGGAGCGAAGCACGGGCAAAAACTCCTGGATGAACGCCATGCGACTGTAGTAGTGCAGCGCCATCTTCTGGTCGAGGCCCTCGCTTGTCTCGGTGCGGCCTTGGATCGTTGCGATACCCTGCGTGAGCACGAGGCGGTCGAGTCGCGGAAACTGCGACGAGAGTCCATGGATGTTCTTGACGTACTGCGCGTCCAGCGGCAGAAACGCATACGTGCCCGTCGGGTGCGAGGCTTGCATGGCCTCGACAATCGCCTGGCCGCGCGCCGCGTTGCGCCCGACAATGACAACGTCAAACTGAGCTTGCGCGAGGCGCCGCGCGATGGCCTCGCCAATGCCCGACGTGCCGCCGACCACCATTGCCTGGAGCCCCGGAAAGGCGGCGCCGGCGTTGCGCGCTTGGAGGACACTGAGCTTCATGGACGAGGTGTACGAGTTGTAGGCGATCGAGAGGCCGAGGACGAGGGTCGATGCGACGAAGAGCTGGTGCGACCGCTTCATAAGCCAAAATGCGATCCGAAACAATACTGTTGGGTCGCGGTGATTAGTCTGCGACCGCGTCTCGATAAACACAGGCGTCCTCGTTGACTCAATCCAAAATGATGTGTACCAATCAGAGTGCACGTAGCGTCCATGGACGTCGCGGATTGGTGGGATCGTCAAACGGCAATGTGATCGACTAGTTCCACGCAACCTGCACCACACGTCGTCGCTTGGACCATTGCACCGCGCCCACGGCAGGACTACAACGCCAATAAGATATTTTGACGCAAGAGCGATCAAACAGGTGCGCCACCACACCGGCGGCTAGACACTGCGGTTGGCATTCAGCAAAGACACGCGAATTGACTAATCGCACGCAACATTCGACGACGTGCGCGCATGACATTGCTCCCCGTGTACAAAGGCGTCCCAGGGTCCATACCGTGGCATATTTCGTCGATTGCCGTGATGCTCATGATGGAAGCGCAAGCCGTCTTGGCAAACAGGTCGCAAGTACCGCGCTTGACAGCGCAGCTGCTGGGTATGCGGATCAGCGAATCAGATGTCGTGGCATGATGTGGCGCGTTTATGTTGGCTTCTCCTGCGTCGTTGCGTTCTTTTAGAACCGTCGCGACGCCAGGTGAACGAAGGTAGTGTCCGTGGGCACTTTGCCTTTTACGATAGCATGCGTCTTCAAGCCGTCGCGGCGCGCAACGCGGGCGCCAACTTTACCGGGTGCACGGCGCTCGTCGTTGGCGCTACGTCCGGCATTGGCGAGGCCATTGCGCACCGCCTCGCCAAAGCCCACTTCAACGTGGTCGTCGCCGGGCGCAACGCCGAGCGCGGTCGCGACGTCGTCGATGCGCTGCACACATCGCACCCTAGCGGCGACCACAGCTTCCTGCCGCTCGACGCCCAGTGCATGGCCAACATCCACGGTCTCTCGTCGCAGTTCCCACGCCTCGACCGACTCGTGTGCACGCAAGGCATCTCGACGATCCAAGGCCGCACCGAGACGAGCGAGGGTCTCGACCAGAAGATGGCGCTGCACTACTACAGTCGCATGGCGCTCACGCGCGAGTTCCTCCCGCTGCTGCGGCAGTCGCCTCGGGCGCCACGTGTGCTCTCGGTCTTTAGCGCTGGTAGTGTTTTGCATCTCCTAGTCTGCTGTTGCGATGACATTGTTGTACATAGGCGTGCACTCGCCGTACCACAAGTTCCGCGACGACCCGGACCTCAAGACGCACTACTCGCTGAGCAATGCTGCAAACGCCTGCGGCTTCTACAACGATTTGATGCTCGACGCGTTCGCGGCCGACCCGGCGAACGCGGCGGTGGCTTTTGCGCACACAGCGCCAGGGTTTGTCTCGACCAACTGGGGCACCGAGATGCCGTGGTTTGTTCGAACGCTCTTCATTCGCCCGCTGCAGTTTTACGGCAAAACGTCCAGCGACTGCGCCGAGTTCCTCTCGGACTTTTTGCTGCAGGAGGCGGCACCCGACGCGCCACGCGTCTCGCTTCTCAACCAGTTTGGCGAACCAACGTCGCCGACGTCGATGCATTCGCC